GGAAAGGGAGCAGGCAGCTAACAACGGCCCAACCTTCTGCAGATACCCATGAAAACATCTGCCGTTACATTGCCAGAGAAAATGACCTGGTGGTTGTGTCTGTTGGGTGAGTTATGGCACTACTACCCTATGGGACGCTTTTTGCTTCTTTTTACTGGGCCCCACGGTGTCGCGTGTCTTATGGGAACAGTCAGTAAACCATTTCCCCAAGATCCCAGATGTCAGACAGAATTTCAGGGGGACTATGTTAAACACACACACACGCCCCCCCCGCAATCTGCTAATGTAGGGAGAGTGCAGACCCCAAAGTAAGTTAGTGTATCTTGCAACACAGAGCTATTCTGGCACCACACAAAAAGAAGGAATGCTTTCCAGAAGAGTTTTCTTAAGTGTTGAGAACTGACTAATAAAAAACTTGGAAGGTGGTGATTCAGTGATCTGTTTAATTAGATGTAATCACCCTCTAAACTTCAAGGAGTTTTCTAACAGTAAGAATCAAATGCCAATGTATTCTAATACTAATAATACAGAAAAATACAACTCTCTTCCAGTTATTTAAATAATCAAAGAAAAATAAAATAATTATCAAGAGGAAACATCCTAAGGTGAGGTGCAGACTGATTAAATGACTTCATCCACAAGCCAGATGCAGTCTACATCAGAAGAGTAAAATGAACTTGTATCACTCAAGTTCTGATGGGTGCTGTCCTCGGTAGAAGATCCCAACTATGCCACATCCCTGCAACTTCCTCCTACTGGCTATCACTGATCTGTGATAACTTGGTCAAATACCTGTTTAGCAGATAATGACACCGGGTTTTCTTTGCTGAAGGAAAACTACTCCAAACAACACAGGAAAAGCAAGGTGCTGTAGGAAAGCTGTGCTTACGGTTATGACATTTCCTTCTCATACTTTTGTTGTCTCTTTTTGTGTATTAGGTATCGTTTAGCTCCTGAACACAAATACCCTGCTGCGTATGAAGACTGTCTTAATGCCACCATACACTTCATGAAGAATATCGAGCACTACGGGGTGGATCCTGCCCGTCTGATTATCTGCGGGGACAGTGCTGGGGGCAATCTAGCAGCTGCTGTTAGCCAGACCCTTGCAGGTAGATCAGACCTCCCCAGGCTGCGTGCTCAGGTCTTGATCTACCCAGGCCTTCAGGCCCTGGACTTCAATTTACCATCCTACCAGCAGAATCGGGGAGTCCCTCTCTTATTCCGAGAACGTGCCGCTTTCTTTGCTTTGCAGTACCTAAATGGGGATGCATTGCATGTGCAGGAGGTCTTGGAGGGCTCTCATATCCCTCCAGATATGAGGCTGAAGTACAGGAAGTGGGTGAGTCCAGATAACATCCCCGAAAAATTTAAGGTCAGAGGCTACAAACCACACAAGCCCCACGGATTCAAGGCTGAAGTTTTTGAGACAATGAAAAGATTCTGTGAGCCCAACCTGTGCCCACTGTTAGCCGAAGATGCTATTGTTCACCAGCTGCCCGAGTCTTTCATCTTGACTTGCGAGTACGATGTGCTGAGGGACGACGGCTTGCTTTACAAGAAGAGACTGGAGGACAACGGTGTTCGAGTGACCTGGTACCACCTCGAGGATGGATTCCATGGAATCATAAGCTTATTTGATCATCGCAGATTCTCGTTTTCATCTGGGAAAAGGGGATTGGACAGTGTTGTTAAATTCATAAAAGGCCTGTAAAATCAACTTTCCCTCTTTATGCTTCTACCACTAATGTCTCTGTTTAGGCTCCCAGACCTGAGGTAGTACTTGTCAGCAAAAATGTGATACCCTTTGATGCGGAAAATAACAATTTTGATATCATGAACGTCAAATACTGTCTGAACACTGGTCTTTGTCCTCATGAGACTACTGACAGCTCAGTCTTTATGGTTTTAGTATTTTCCACATGCTGTGTTTCAATCCCCTTTCTTTCAAATCAGCGTCTCATTGATTCCTTGTGTTTAATTACCAGATGTTTTACTTCTATGCAAATAATGTCTGTGGAATGATTTGGATTAAATAACTCCTGTGAATTACAGTGAGGATCTTTGTGATGTCCATTTGATAAGCTCCAAAGCATGACTTTATTTTGCTAAAATGTTCAAGTTAGGTATATAGTGAGCTGGAGGGGAGAGTTAGAGGAAAGCTCTGGAAAAACAGGCAGAGATCAAGGTCTTGGGGATGAGATTCAACATACATTCAGTGGGCACGGCACAGCCCCATCTGCAAAAGCAGCAGTACGAGGCCTGAGGTAACTGGGGACACTGCTGGAGGCCCGGTAAGGGCTGCTCTGATTTTGAAATAACCGTGGGTCTACAAACTCCTGTTTAATTTTAGGATGTCTCCACTAAGCTCACTGAAGCTCAGGGCAAGAGTTACTGACTGAGAGGGAACACTTATGTCAGGTTTTAGAAAGACAGTAAGGATCAGTGCACTGGGCTCTTGATCTGTGTATACTGGAAGGTTTAGCTTAAAGAGAGAGAAAATGCGAAACAAAAAGTTTTCGTGTTCCTTCAGAGAGTGGTTCTCCAGTAGGTTGGTTTTTTTTTTTTGTGATTTTCGTGATGTTTCTCCATGTTTTGAGTTTTCTTTACAGGGCAAGGCAGTATATTCCTTCACATGATGCTTCATTATACACTGCTGCTGAAGGAAAAACTGTAGTGGGCACACTCAAAATAGTTAAGACTGAGGAAATGAAAATCCTAAGGAAAAAAAAAAAA